CAGTTGTGCTCAGACTCCTCCTGAGACTCTGCAGGAGTGTGAACCCATTAGGGTAGAATAATCCTAAACGATTGCCACCCCTTCTTCTCAAAACTGAATAGCTCCAAAAGCATTAATTCATCTTTGAAGACTGCAAAAATATGCCTGACCTTGGAGCAAATGCCTCTGTACTGGATGGATGGGAAAGGTAAATTTAGTCCCCAAGTCTCTTTGCAGTTCTGACTCTTTTACCTTATTGCATGTTTCTACCTTCATTAAAGCTAATGATCTCAAGACAGCATAAGGGCATATGAAATTTAGTGTGTAATTTGTAAATAATTGCAATCATTATTAAGTATGCTGAACAAAAAGTATTTAAATGAAACTCTTTCAGGTAGATCAGAGACCAACAGAGAACTGCAAACTTACACAGCCAACTGGCCATGCTTGCCAGGAAGGAAAAACAGCAGCTGAGAAGTATTCTTCAGACAGCATCCTCATTACAAAATTCTATGTGAAGACCTCGGAGATCTTTTTTGTCTGTTTTTTACCTATGTTCAGTTTGGCTATGTAGGCAGGAGGGCAATCTCAAGGAACAAGGAGCCACCTCAGCACCTATTGTACAGGGGCACGGTCTTGTTTCAGGGTCTTAGTCTAGTTTTACACCATTTATAGTATCACTCTGTTTATAATTCCACTGGGAATATTACAGGATGAAATAAAGAATTAACTGGGATTATTCCTGATTTACACCAGAGGATATCAGAGCAAGCTCTCTAACTGCTTATTATAATGTACACTAATTGTAATTTTTTAATACTACTTAATGCTCTGAAATCTTTGTTTGCAGGGACTGACACAGGCCAAAGGTATAGGGTGCTAAGTCCTTTCCATAGACAAAGTCCTTAACAAACTTCTGAAACCTCTCCAGGTTTGCCAGGGTGCTCAGCTTGTTTGGAGAAGAGTCCTTTTTTAACGTTGTTTTTATTTTTGGCTGTTTGCTTTGGTAATTTCAAGTCTTCTTTAATATTAATTTATTAGTAATCTTAACATTATTAATCATATCACTATTACTATATTAGGAATTTTTCTTTTCAGTCTTCATGTCTGGGTTTCCTCTGCTGATCAGAAGGCATCTGTGATATGAAGTGAGGTTCTGCCCAGCATCAATACTTCCAGGTAAAAATAAAAGCTGGTGACATCTGTTCATCACTATCTGGTGTGTGCTAAACTCCCTTCTGACCTTACTGGGCAAACGCTCATTTTTATTGTGCTCCTTCTGGAGTCACTGACAGACCAATTTTGTGAGAGCAAAGCAGCATCCTGCTTATCCTACTTAGTATCTGTACTGTCTTCAGTTGGGTTCTCAGTGCTCTGTCAGGCTGTACTCCCTTTGAAGAATAAGGATTAAGACAACTTCTAGTAGTTTGGTCTGAACATATTAGCATTTTTATTACACAAATGAAGTGGTTATTTTGGTTTGGTTTGGTTTGGGTTTTTTTTTTGCTACAGAAAGGTTTCACTAACACTGAGTCAATATAATGTACACTCATTTTTAAAATTGGATGAGATAAAATGGAAGGCCTGGGTCACAGAAAGTCCTAAGAAGGGCATGATAACAGCACTTCAAAGGGAGAAAAGTTTTCTCTTCAGAAGGGGAAAGTTTTAAAATATATGTCTGACCTTTAAGTATCTTTGAACAATGTTATTATGCATAACCTGTCATTCTTTACCCTTTATTCTTCAGATAGGATATTTTTTGACAGAATGTATCCCTTTTTCAGTGCAATCTACATTTTCAAAGTTCAGTGGCATGTTAACATTTACAGAAAGTTTAATCAAAGTTTGAATGTCAGAATCACTGTGGGATTAATTAATTAATATTTTGAAAGCACTTGGTAGAAGAAAAGTGCAAAAGAAAAATATGCTTTCCTATTTCTGATGAAAATTAAATTTCCATTGTGCAGATTTTCAATTTAACTTAGTGCCAGAAAGTCCTAATACAGGATTCAGTTTAGTCATGTTTTTGCATTCAGACCTGTTCAGTAGAGTGCTCAAACACATCTGTAGGCTGTCCTGAGTTAGAACTATACTAGACAAAGAGAACAGCATGCAGAAATTCTCCTCCTGGACCAATAAAGCCAATAGCAACAGAACAAGAGATATTGAACTTTCGTTATGAAACTTTCATAAATACATTGTCTTGTAGCTTAGTACCTCGCTACTGATTGAAGAATGGAACCAAGTCATCTTTGAGGCTCTTTCCACACAGTCCTCCAGGACAGGCCAGGCCAGGCAAGAAAACACAGGTTGGGTTTATCGGTCAGCAGCACATTCTCACTGGCGGGACCTCACAATGGAGCATGTCTCCAGAAGTCGTTAGACTGAGTTTAGCCCTGGTACTCGGATCAGTTAAGAAATACAATCTTGTTTAGTTTGGTTTGGTTTGGTTTAGTTTTCATTCGAAAAGATTCAGCCATTAGTTTATGAATAAACTTTTCATTTGATAGTACGTTTTTCAATTCTCTTGCACAACGAGTCAGATCTGGACTAAATCAAAAGCATGGAATTAAGAATTGCAGTATCTAAATGTGAGAGCCTAAAGAAAGCCTGTGTCCCACATAATCACTGCAGGCAGCTCTGAAAGCCTTCTGAAGGCAATTTAGACCTATTAACTAAATAGCTACCTGTCTCTGCTGACTGTGTGGTAAATTCAGCTTCCCACTGCTGCTACAGAGCCAAGGAAGCCCTCCAAAGCAAAGTCAGGAGCAAATGTCATCTCCAAATGAAGATACTCACTCAAGATAAGAGTGGTCCAAGATCTGAGATCTTGTTTTCTAGGAAATGGTTGTGCATTACTAGTAAAAATAAAGTCATGGTCCTGGGAACAAATTCCTTCAGGTTTGCTCCTTCCTTAAGTAGGTGAGCTTGCTATGGGTGCAGTCAGCCAGCCTCCAATGTCCTGTGCTGTCACCCTGCTGCAGTAGAAGAGGAGCACAGGGCATTAAGGATGAGGTTATTATGAAAAAGGGAGGTACTGTGACAACATTCTGGGTTGAAATCAGTGCAGTGCTATGAAGTTAAGGTGTCTAAATTCTCTATTCTCCCTGGAAAGTCATGTGAAATTTATATAAGGGGAGGATTTAGTCACCCTAGTTCTGGATATTTTTAAGCAAACATATGCATTAACTTCATGGGTATCTCAGATACCAGGGTTAAATGAATGAGTTCCTTATGTTCCTGGAGAGCTAGCTGGTGCTATTAAATAGGATTGTGTTGGAGAGCTCCCAAAACAAGGCAATGGTTTTGGAATTTTCTAGAAAGGTACAAACTCATGTTTTGAATTTGGCGTTTGGTACATCTGCATTACCATCCAGGCTAGTTATTGTTTATCCCGCTTCATCTCCACTATAAGTTTGATTCTTCCATGTCTTCCTTTTGGTACAACAATATTTCTTACTGTCTGATTAAGCTGCATGAAATAATCTTCTCTGAGGTGGAGCACATAATTTCCTATTCATTTTGTACTAATGAGGAGGAAATTAAGAGAATGGGCTTTGAAATACATGGCTAAAAGTTTTGATAGTGGGCATGCCAAATGGTAGAAACGCAGGGGATAATCAGTTCCATAATATCAAGTGGATAAGCATTAAATGAAACTCAAAAGCTGTTCTATTGGCCAAATAGGCATTTCATGTGCTTCTGTCTCCAGAGTCAAAGAAGTTTTCTGCATGAAATAAACTAAGTTAGAGGAAATGCAAAGCTAGTAAGAAAAAAAATACCTGGAAGGAACCACAGTTCCATTTATCCCTTGGCTAGTTTGGATGGGCTGATGAAAATGTTCTCTCAAAGCCCTGATGATGGCAGGGAGGGACCAACCTGCATTAAGGGAGGGGAAAAAGCCCTCAAAGTGAGGATTAACAGAACAGAAATGTATACTCTTTGTGTTTAAAGCTCTTGTCCTAAATAGTTGTCCTTTGCCTTAAGTGTCTGTTTGTTAGCTCTATGAGAGCAGAGGACCAGCACCTACACCATACCTACTAGGGGATCACAGTAATGGACAGGAGGAACCATAAGTGCCTGAGATCAGGAGAAGGGCACAGGATCCATCCCAGAGGGGTCAGAGCTGGAGGAGAAGCACTTGTGCTGAGTAGCTTCAGAAAGCTTTAGAAGGAAGATATTGCTGTTCCCATTTTAACTTGACTTGTGAAAAGAGCTCTTGAATCTATTGAATGAAACATAAAAAGATGTGGTGACTGGAAACTGAAATTAGATCAGTGCAGGCTATAAATAAAGTGCTGTTTTTCAGAGGGAGGGTAGCCGTTGATCACACAGCTCCCCGATATACCTGGTGCAGTCTCCACCACTGATACAATGGTCTGTTGGGAAGCTGGAAGCGAATTCAGAGTAGGTCTCTCTTCTGCAGGGTGTCACACTAAACAATTTGTTCTTTTATTAGATAGAACTTCAATTCCCATTTCCCAAAATCTTGACTAGAGATTGTTTGTAATGCCTCCCTCAGGTCTTCTTTTTGCAATTTCCTTCCATTGCTGTTTGCAAACCATCTGCAGAGTAGCCTGGACAATAAACTCTGTGGTGGAGGTTTTTGAATATTCCCTCAGAGGTTTTTGAATCTTTCTTTATATAAATCTCAGTATTTTTTTTTATAAGATGACTGTCCTAGATACTTGATTACCTTGGAATTTCTCAGCATTTACTTTTAAGTTCCAGGCAGTTCGTAAGTGTTCAGTACTAGAAAGTGTTTCATCCTTCAATATCTGGTAACAAAAATGAACTACTATTCAGTCACTACCTCTAAGGAACTCTTCCAGAAAATGTTTCTTACTACAGTAATAAAAGAAGTAAAACACTGCTGCAACTTAATAGTGGCCAATAAGGAATGAGTGTTTCAATGTGTTCTTCACACTCTGGTATTGTTCTTAACCTTTAGAAAAATCAACCTACCTGCAATTACACATAGCAAATCATAGCCTGAAGGACTAGACTAATGACTTGCTTACCAAGGATCCCCAAAGGGATCTGTATTCTTGCTCTCAGACTCTGATGCAGTATATTAAGAACTGAATTCCTTACAGCCATCAGTCCACCATTAGGTTTTCATTCATGCTGGTAATCTCCCTGAAATAGAAAATGTGAAGGTTAAAAAAAGAGGGAGAAAGAAAGACTAAATCTTTTATGACACAGTAAGTAAGCATGACTACTGCGGTTTTTACCAGTGCCTCATGCATTGCAATGCATTGAAATGACCACTAAAAACTGAGGTTGTCAGAAGACACTGCATAAAATTAATAAAGAAGAGACTCAAGAGCTTGTGAAGATATTCTCTCAGGAGGATGTTTGGGGAACTGAGTTTGAAGTTTGTGGCTACATTTTGCATTTGCATTTATGATATAAATATATTGTCAACTTAGTGCTTCGGGATTTTTTTGTCCATCAAAGCTAAATTTAAGCATTAAATCTTCCATTCTGCTTGTTGAAATAACAGTAGCGTCTTATAAGCAGTGCAAGATGCCAGAACTGGAGCCTTTTGCAATCTGCACATGCTGAGCCTCACTATGGCCTGTTCACATCATTGCAGTTCTGCAATGCAGAGGATTACACAGGAGAAACTGCCCTGCTACCCAGCCTGCCAGTGGCTAAATTCCTTTGCAAAAGGAGTTATCTGTAGTTCTATTAAAAAAACCACAAACAGTTCTAACAAAAAACATGAGTATGACAAAGATTTCCCTGTTTTAGGGCTTCAATTTTTTTTTTTTTCATTTTTGAATAATGCATACAAGAGAATAGAAGGGAAAGAATTCATTATAAACAATATGTGAGATTGTCAGACTAAAACAAAAATATATCATACAGGATAAGTCTATATGTTATTTGTCAATTCTGTTGTGATTCTCTAAGATGCAGCTGAAATGGCTGGCTTGGAGGTTGTCTTGCGGATTTTGAAAGACAAAGCAGATTATCAACTCAACAGAAAAAATCTTTTTCAAGGGAGGAAAAACACTGTGTTGGTTTAGAGTTAAGCACAGCAGAAACATCCATCCTTACTTCTGAGACAGCTTAGATTTACTTGTGAAAGGTACATTTTGAGAAAAATAAGAACAAGCAGAATGTGAATAGACTAAATATTCAGGTATTTCTGATCAAGAGGAAAAGCTGGTTAACCTATGCCTTCATCTCACTTCCTGTCTGCTCTCATAGGATCAGACTGCAACCATCTTTGCAAGTTGCCAAGGACAAGCATTCTGTCAGGTTTTGATAAAATAAGAGAAGATTGAGATGAAGCGATCTGACACATAGCATATATCACTATATTTCTTCTGAGTCACATGGGACATCTTCAGATCTGCAAAAGAAGACTGTGCAAGAAGAATATTCACACCTGAAAATATGAAACAATTATTTATTGGCTAACAAACACAAAAAATATCTGGGATTCAAGGACCCTGGTAATACTCACCATTCCACAAGACACCCCAGAGCCTTGGTAGGGCAGGAGTGGAAGGGTTGGCCTCTGCAGCTCCTGGGCTCAGTCCTCAATAGTGCTGCCTTGCCATCTCTCATTGACACAAAACCTCTCAACACCGATGACCAGGCATTTCAGTACAGTGATCCACCTGGACAAGTCCCGTGATCGAGGGAGGTTGCAGAGGGGCATAGAGAGGGAGGGGTTACCTATGGAGCGTGGAATAGCAGTGAGATGGCTACAGAACCATGATCCTCAGCCCCTCTCCCTGTCCTTTTCTTTGGATAAATCCACATGTAGCATACCTTGCAGAGGCAACTCTGTGAACTTTACTATTACATTATTAAAATTCATGTTTTCTGGTTATGACTTAGCTTCAGTATTATAGCAAGCATTAAAATGTTTATTTAAATGTAACAATCCTTACAGTATCTGGTTTCCCAAACTATGAGACCAGAAGCATACTGAACTTGAAAAAAAGAGCAGAAGTGTTAGAGTTACATATGACCATATCAGTTCTGATAATGGGAGGCAAACCTCCTTCCCCTCGCTAGATCGGTTGCGCTTTCATACTCTTTAGACATTTTATGAAGAGGTGGAGCTCTCACTTGCTCTCACTTGGGACCCAACACTAAAAAACACAGCCTCCTACAAAGTGCTGCATTCCATTACCAGAGCTTTTTCTGCTGTAGCTCCCTAAGACACCATATTGTGATAGTTGGTACATCAAATGAGGCTGCCAGAAATTAGTCTCAAATCAAAAAAGAGATTCTTCTTGCAGGTGGTGTTGCAGTGAGGGGCAGAATTCCTCACCACAAGTCATGAATGGTAAAATCTTACATGGCTTCAAGGAGAGGCTGGAGAATTTCACAGAAGAGAAATGCACCAGGAGTTGCTAATTTCATAGAAACAACTCCCAGTTCAGGAGGTGCCTGAAGGGCAGATGGTAATTGGCTGGGAGAATCATCAGAAAAACACCATATGTATTTGTTCTGATCCCATACAGTGCCCCAAGCTTTTTGACCACTACTGGAAAGCAGATGATTTGACCCACTGTAGATATTCTTATGTAAGATAAGCAGAAACATGTGTACATGTACATGTGATTAATGGCAGAGTGTGAATTATTGTTGCATATGCTCTGCTTTTCTTTCACATGAACTTTTTAACAATGGTGGAATAAATTAGACTGCAAAGGAAACATTTATACAAAGCATAGAATAGGAGGTGTAGACCATTAGGATATTCAAGTTTTGGTCCCTGTGCCTATTGTCAAGATTTGAAATGGCTTTTTCTACACCTTTTTATGCCAGGCCAGCACTGCAATCTCTCTTTGTGCTCTTATTAAAGTCAGTTTCTTGTTTAATTGTAGATAAAGTTGACGCCTAATCTGATTCAGTTCAAACAGCACAGATAAAAGTTGTCAAACGTCTCAGATCTGGGGCTGGCGTTCAGAGGCAGCTCTGATGTGGTTTTTTATTGCCTGTACCCCCTGCAACCTTCAGAGGCACAGGGAAATAGCATGCTGCTGCTTGGCTTTGCCAGTATGGCTCCTAAAATCTGACTTGACAGGGAGAGAAAAGGAAAACTAAAAACTATGCCAATCATCAATACTGAGATAAATTGAATCAAAAGAAAAAGATGTAAGTGAATACAATGCATATGAACTTGCCAGCAGAACTCAAATCTTAAAAAAAGGGGGGGGGCAAAAGTTGACAAAACCCATTAAAACAGCAATTCTAAGACAGGTGCCCCTGCTATGTATGCAGCATGTGATGAAGAGGTATATAAAAATGCTGTGAACAGTCCTCAGATGTCTGTCAAAAAATGAATCTTCCCATGGTGAAAAAGAAATTGCTTAAAAATAGATTTAGGTAAAGCAAATAATGAAATGTTTGGAAATTTATTTAATGAGACAGTTTCTGAAGTACAGCACAAAACAAAGATTATATAAAGGATGTCAAGATAATAAATTGTACTCAAATTCTTCTCACGCTTCTGAGTCATTTAGCCTACTGTCCTTTTGAGCTGTCACTTGAACAAAAGCAACTGAAATGAACTAATTTGGTAACTTATCTCATTTGTCTTTCTTTGGGAAACATTCCTTTTCTCCATAAGTCTCTAGCAGCAGGCTAAAAGGAGAGACAAATATAAGTGAAAATGCAAGAAGAAAGACAACTAGGTTTTTTCCATGAGCTGAAACTTTGAGAAATCTATTCCAGGCACAGTTGCTGTGTATACCACATGTATTTGATATTCAGCTCATAATTTAAAGGAAAGTCATGGAAATTATTTCTCTTATGGGAGAATCCAATTTGAGAATCCAACAACACAACTACAACACAACAAGAATATAGCACAACAATGTTATGAAAGAATGCTCAAACTGGCCTGGCTACCAGAAGTCATCCAGCTGCCTTAGAATGACTCCTCCCTGAAGCATCACTGACAAGTTGTGGAGCAGGTTGTTTCATTTTTATGTACCTCCACCCCCTGTATACAAATAATGCAATTATTTGCTGATCTCTGACCACTGAGTCTGGAAATGTGTTGAGGCTGTCAGTACTCCCTTACTGTGTGCACAATGGCATTGAAGTCTCAGCAGGAGGCTCCTAGTGCTATGTAGCACAAACAGATAATAATAATAGCTAACGTGTCTAATGAGTGATTGCTTCAAAGGCATAGGGAGCCTGCCAGGCTCATCCATCCCTGTGTGCCTGTCTGAATAGATGTGTGCCTATTAACTCACTGATCAGGTTATCTTTTTCTTACATTCTTGAAGAACCCATGATTGTATCTTGTTTTTCAAATAATTATTTGCTGTTCTTTTCTTAGCAATCACCTGGATTAGGACAGACTGTTAAAAGGAATTTAGTAAGGCTTCCTTCATTACCCAATCTGGGTACACTCATGCTTCCAGCATTCTGAAAAAGTTTAACAGTTTGAGGCATGTATGAAAGTTGCATGAAGACCTGAACTTCAATGGCATTTTCAGAGGAGATGTCACTGTGTCAAACTCTCCAACAGACAAGTAGACCTGGAGCTCGACACAATAGATTTACTTCAGAATAGAACTGAAAACAGGATTGCAAGTGGGGCAAATATCTAGCATCTGGACTAAGGTGCTCTGAAATGTAGTATACCCTAAACCAATCAAAATCAGATTAGTGGAGATTTTAAGAACTCACAGAAACATACAGAGGATTATTTGACAATGCTATCATCCACAGAAAGGGCTAGGGAAAACTAAGTAACAATATTCTCAAACGATGTTGCCATAACTCAGTGTTTTAACATGAAACAAGAAATTTACAGCATTAGCTTTCGTAGTCAGGCTATTCTGAGGCATCTCCACTGTCTTTCCCTCTGTCTCTTTCTTTTTGGCATTTCTGGATGTTTCACATTTTCCATAAGGCTGTGGAGAAAAATCATTGGATTATAGTTCTTAAATTATTATTTTATTATTATTTATTAATCTCTTCAGTTTAAATAGAAGCTGGCAGATTTTCTGAGCCATAATTTTTGAATACTTAGAAACTTTCCCATGAAGCTGACCTTTTTTTATAATTTTGACAGAAACCATAGAGCTCTGGAGTACAGTTGAAGTGTGCTAAACCACTCAAGTCTATTTGCACACAAACAGCTAAAACTCGCTAAGAAAAAAAAAAGAAAGTTAGTCAAAACAGAGAACAAGGGGAGAACCAGTATGAACACAGACAGATTAACATACATGTCAATATTTGGGATTCTCTCATTTTATTATTATGGACAGTAGTGCAAAAATAGACACCCAAGGTAGTTAAAAAAAAAAAAAAGTTGATTTGCGGAAAAATTAGGTAATACAGGAAAGAAAAACTATCTTTTAGGGTAGAATTAATTTTCCCTAATTTAAACCAATTAAAACTTTAACTGTTTAAACTTTAAGCATCTTGTTTCATTATAATTGCCTAGTTTCCTGTTAGTTGATGGAAAGAAATATATTACAGCCAAATTTATTTCATCTCACATATCTTGGACAATGCTTTGGGGTGACTACTTTGAGAAGCTCTGGTCTCTCTTTTTACTGTATGGGAATTTGGACAGTGCCTTGTACTAGGCATACATACTTTGGACAATTAAGATTAATTGAGATGAATTTCACTCTCACATGGAGGGAAATTACAGAAAGAAAAGCACCAATACAGTTTTAAGAATAATGAAAACAAGAAAGACAAGTCAAAGACATAAAATTATATAAAATCTTTTTTTTACAGTTTTTAAATGGTATTTGAAGACTTTTAGAAAGCCTGTGTTTTAACATCCTAGTAATGTAGACAGGCTTTTTCTCTGAAGAATTTCTAAAATGTCAGTTTTTCTCTCTTGCATGTGGTGAATTTAGGCATTTTTAGGATAACTGATTCATTAAAATTTGGAAGGTCAAGTCAGGTGTTTAAGTTTGAAGGACGAATTAGATTGCACAGCTTTGAAACAAATTTTGAAGGAAAAAATGATGAAACACACAGTGATACATAAACTTAAATTATGTCAAGCAATTCTGAATTTTCTTTAAAAAATAAAATTATTTCTTAAATTAAATATAGAAAGCATTTTACATTAAGAATATCACAGTGTGACTGAAGAACAAGAGAGCTAATTGTAATGTGGGTAATGTATTAGTGCAGCTAACTGAAGGTAGGAGGAGAACTGCTCAAAGACGAAATGAAAATGGTGTTCTCCACAGGGTAAGTCACCAGAGAAAGGCAACAGTGAGGATCCTCAAAAATTGCTCATAAAAGTAATTTATTAATATATTCATTAATTTTCTTAGCAAAAAACCAAGTCTGTGATGATAAAACTTTCTTCTAGCATGACTTTGTCAATAAATAGTCAGGTCAGGAAGAACAGCATGATGTTGGGGACCGCAGTGGTGGAAATGGGATTAAATTTAATGGTGTATAAAATGGAAGACTGTGTGCTTAAGGACTCATAAGAAGATTTCTGCAGTAATAAAGAATTTATCAGCTGAAGCTGAATGAGGCATAGAAATGTTGTTATGTGAGCACAGGTATCTTCTGAGATACCACAGAGAAGCGTGGGAAAAAAAAGTAAAGGTATTCCTAAAACATTTTGGGAGAGGTACTTCCAGCAGAGGCTACTCACCTATTTTACCTG